CTTTTCTCATGATAAGGTGAGTATACTCACTGATTAATACCACTCGAGTAAATGATAAATATTTGTGAGTACTTCTGTTTGTACACTACTCTACTTAGAAAATTGTTTAAACTCATGTGTGATGATTTTCGTTAACGAGAATAGTTGTTAGACATATATGTGGTGAGTATGATTGTACGCATTCATATTCACCACACAAGTAATGTATAAGGAAAAAGTATATACCAACATTAGTTGCTCTTTATGAGCACCCTTTAAGTATATATATTATGACTATTTGCATTTCTTTGCTGACTACATTTACTAGACATCCCATAAATAATAAAATATGCATTTAACTGGTAACAAGTCAAAAACTGCAAAATTTGACGTAACAATCATATAGTATTGAATACCTGTAACAAAATGTTACGCTCCGTTGTGGTTATTTTAAGACATGAAAATATTACAATTTTAGTTAAAAAATTTTTAAAATACACGTATTCTAATTTGAAATCTGTTACATTAAAAATATTTATATATACAAGAATACAAACTATAAAGTTTGGAATTAAAAGAGTTGTCATAGAAATCATTACAATACAAATCGCATTTTAAATGTCGAGCCATCAACAAATCGAAATATTACATGAAATATATATAAATAACCCGATTGACGGCAAATGCCATAATCGTATAAGGATAAAATTAGATACTATGTAAATGAAGTTAGGTTTTTCTTATTAGTTTTCTTATAATTATTTATAATATTTATGTTTTATATATTATAAATTATTGAAAATGTTAATTTTGTAAATGTAAATATAACCTAAATTTAATAAAAAGAATACTACTACTACTATATATAAATAATATTAAAAGTCATGACAATATTTTATCAAAATGACAATTTTCTAAATCGCCCATATGTTATGAATAGCAATACGCATTTATTATTCCCATTAAAGAAAGTCCTTATGAAATACTCTTTGGTAAAAGTTGTTGAATTTTTTCTAATGCCCTACAGCAGTCAGAAGATGTCAAACACATTGATGGCGACTTGAACCTGCAGCCACTCAAGCTTGTGTGCAAAATTTAATTTTCAAGCGAATTTTCTCAATAATGGATGAATTCGCTTGTTTGCATATTTTTAATATTCGGAAAAAAAACTTAATTAAAACAGTATTTATAAACAAAATTTCCTATATTTTTAATATTATTACATTTTTATTAATATATAATTTATTATTTATTTGTTACTGGGCTTAGGTTGTTTATTTAACACATAAATTTAAAAAATTGTTTTTTATTTTTTTTTAAAATACATTATTAATATATTTATTAATTATTTAAATGAACGAAGAAAATAAAAAAATTTTTTTATTATTTTACTTTAAATCATATCACCAAATAAATCGTAACACCAAATTTGTACAAAATGATTATCCAAGTATACAAATGTCCGTGCATAGAAACAAGATGTCAAAACATATAACTTATTTATATATATATATATAGCAGAAAACGCAGTTGTCTATATATTATTATGTATATTATGATTTGTGAAAAACCATGTACATGTAAGAAGGGTTTTTCTCAAAATATTTTATTGTCAATATTCGAATACATATGTTACTTTGCGAAAATGTAACAACAGGAATAAAAGAAAAAAGCAATACTTGATCTTAACGCAGGTAACACTGCATAATCATTTATTTTACAAAAAACCCATATTGTATTTTACCTGAATACCTCTACTGTTTTAAATTTGTTAACAATAAGCAGGCAATAAAAATATATCACAACCTGTTTGCTGTACATATGAATGTATATATGTATGTACATATATTAAATTTTAAAAATTAAAGTTTGTAACTAAAATTAATATATGAAAACTGTACAATAGAGAAATTTAAGTGTTATTTTGATATACATATGTAAGACTTATTACTCTATTCAACAGAAAAACAATAATAAAAAAATTAGAATGTTAAAATAATATATTTTACAAACAAAAATCTCTTAATTTTAATATTAAAAATTTTTATTTATAATTATTTTAATAGAATTGTATAATAGAGATGTTTAAATATTAAATATGATTTTTCGTTTGTTGGTAAAATAATAATAATTTGTCATAAAAATTCCGTATGCAATGTACAATATAATATAGATATATGAATGCCATTTTGAGAATATTATTTAGTACAATATTTACAACAAGTAAGCATGTATGTATAGTGTATTTATAACACATTGTTATACCAATGATGTCTTGTTAATAGCTTTAGAAACACTCAAACGTTAACTTAGGTAAGACTAAAAGTTAAAATTTTTTGCTTTTACTCAGATCTTAGAGTCATTTGTAATATTTAGGTATTGCATATGATCAACAAATTCTATGACAAAATTCAAGCATTTGTTGGGCATTTTAGAGTGATACATCGGTTGCTAATATACCTACAAACGAGTAACAATAGTTTTCCAGATATAGCTTGTATTCGATGTTATCGGCGATAATGTCTGACCGTCTGTAGGGCATGCGTTACTATATGCAGAGTTGTATTTTAGTTAGAAACTGGAAATATTTAAGATATTTATACTTATTATTGTTCAATTACTGTTAATAGATTTTTATAGATAAATTTAGAAATTTTGTGTGTTATGTTTTAATAAATTCAACATGTATATTCTCTTATTTTTGCTGCATGCACATTGTTAACCATTATTTCTATATGTTGATGCAAACCAGCCTTAATTGTGACAGACAAAAGTATTATTTCTACATATATACAAAAATATGTATTATTTTTCAACACTATTTTTTTTATTTTTAAAGCTTAATAATAAATAATAAATAAAATCTTATATTATTTAAATTATATAAAAATATGTCAATATAAATACAAAATTTGAACTTCTAGCGCCATCTATTGTGATGATTTCGTTTAATATGTTGGTACGAGTTTGACATACAGTACTACCAACATAACATCGCAAAATGCGAAATGACTCAAAATTTGGCAAGATGGAGCCTTTCGCTTGGTTTTAGTAAATCAGTATCAGCACGTGTATAAAAAGTGCCAAAAAATTGTCGAGAAATGTTAGTATAATTGGTGTTATTAATTTATTAAATATAATTTGTGTAAAATTTAGTTAACGCTGCAAGTGATAAGTATATATTTAATGAAATTGGTGTTATAATAATCGAGTAAAATGAAGTTAAAAATATTAGGGGATTACTACCCAAGTTATTTGTCGTTTGCAAGATACTGTCGACTGGAAAAAAAAAAAAATGTAGACACTTTGATATAACAAAAACATCTTAAAATTTGTAACAATTTGTAAATAATTTAATATCGGTTCTAAGAGTTTTATTTTTTTTTTGAAAAAACCAAAAGTGAATCTAAATAAATTATATATATTTTGAAATGTCTGAATTTGTACAAAGATCAGAAGTACAAAAGCAGAGCAGTTTGTGAAGTTAAAAATTCTAGTTAAACATACTTTCTATTTGAAATGTGATAATATCAAGCTGTGTGAATTTCGTATATTAATTTTTATAACTTTAATTAGAAAATCTCTATAGGAATGTAAATGACTAATCAAATTTGCGAAAGTAGCGACATTTGATTGTGTGGAGAAATCATATACTTTAGCTTCGTCAAAAGAACAAAATCAAATTTACCGCATTCAACTATGTCGCCTTTTACGCTGTTGGTTTAATAATATCTAATTATTTGTGTAAAATATTTTGGAAAAGAATTTGCTTTAAATGCTTAACAACAAGTCATTAGAACTTTTTGGAGTTCTTTTAGTTTTTTTAAATATCTATTTTATGTTGGCCAAAACAAAGAACTAAGCTTCCTTGATTTTCCCCTTTTTCAATCTGCATGATTTGTGCCGGCAAGTGTCATTCACTGATACACTGACACGTGTTAACGGAATCTCCGCCTTAAAAAAATTATGAAAAAATGATAGCGATGAATGAATTTTTAACAGAAGTTTCTAGACAAACAAAATATTAATATTGATATTGATGTTGACAATTAGCTGGACTCTGCTAAAGTACTATATTCAAGATATCGTTTTAACTTATAGTGAAATTGATGCTAAAAAAAATTTTTTTTTTTGGTCTTGCGTTCTGTTGCGTCATATTATTTACATATTAAAATGTAGTAAGCGCATTCGCAAAGGTCAATCGGTCCGAGTGTTTATTAAATTTTTCTCTAAGAAATGTTAGTAGAGAGACCGAATGCGTTTGTTATAATATAGTAAACCAAAAAACGAATTGATAAAATCGTGGTGTTTGGCAAATTTTTTATTTATGAATAAAACAACTATTACCAAAAGTATTAAAATAATAATATTTTAAATCGATTCATTCAATTATTTAAAAACTAGCGCTAGTGGTGCAAGTTTCTATAATTTTGTTATCAATATTGTTGTATGTTTTGTTTGAACTTGCATTAATTTTGAAATCAACAATATTTTTGAATGTATTTAACATCACAATTTGTGTTTTTCTTTTTTTTGTTAATGTAATAATTCCTGAACTATAATAAATTCCTAGAATTTAATATAAAGAATTCCTAAAAAAAAACACTAGAGTTAGTGTTGAAAAATTACTTTTGTACTTCAACCGGCTTTAATATTGAGTTATCCCAACCTTTTTTTTTTTTTTTCTTTATCATTTGCATTGTTTGGTTGTTGTTTTTAGTTTACTCAATCTCGCAAATGGGGATGCAAGTAAAATTTGAGTAAAATTGAAATTACTACGGCTTATAGCTGAGCTAGGTACCAACTACCAACGTTTGTGTGTGAGCATGCCCATGAATTTTGCTTGAACACACGCTCAAACATTTAGATTTACCGCTTACAACACCCTGTTAGTTATCTGTCATTGTACTTACGTCGTTACTAGTGTTTCAATACTATCGTCTCGTAGTGAATTTAATTACGTTCATATTCTTGCATATCTTACCGTGTTTTAGAAGCGGTGCAACGAAGTTGAACATACGAACGCTGTGGTATATGCGTAATCGTTCTCAGTTCGATAAGTTTGTCTTGAGCGTGCACAAGTGAATTTTTGTTCGGCTAAATTTTATTGTTTAACGTTTGTGATTATTTAAAAAGAAAAGAAAAGAAAACCTTCTGTTTTAACGTGAATATGTAAATATCTTAATTAGTTTTAACTTTATTTATATAAACAAATATATATTGCAATTCTATTTTTTTTTTTTTTTGGGAAATTTTTTTTGTTTTTTTTTTTACTAAATATTTCAATATTTACAGGGATGAACGAAATGATATAACTCATGAAGGACCTGCTGGTATGGATCCGGAGGGTGTAATTGAATCAACTTGGCACGAGGTTTATGATAACTTTGATGACATGAATTTGCGTGAAGAACTTTTGCGCGGTATTTATGGTTATGGTTTCGAAAAGCCATCTGCAATTCAACAACGCGCAATCATACCCTGCGTTAAAGGGCGTGATGTTATTGCTCAAGCGCAATCTGGTAAGTCCGATTTCCCGAATGCTAAATACGAAGACCTAATACCTAGGTGCTAGGTTAATAGTGTTTTGAAATGCTTGCGCGTCGACGCAATAAAAATTTCATATTTATTAAAAACAAATTATATTACAATTAATAATTATTATTTAATCTCAAATATTGTGACAAAAATGGCTTCTCCATTTTATGTAAACATGTGCGGCCTTACCGGCTAATCATTTTTAATGTAAAAATATTATTGTGCAAAACAAAAAGAAAAGGGATATCATCCGATATTTATTTGTTTTCATAAAATTGATTTAACGATGCTCTAAATGTAAACTAAACTGTCGAAAACGCTTAGCGCACATTTTAGTGGTTAAGGTAAACAAAATATTGCAAAGTTAAGCGTGTTTCATATGTACACTTAAAAAAATATTGACTAGTAAATATTGAATGTGTCTTTTGTTTATATATATATATATATGTATATATATAAACGCGCTAAAATTAGTCAATATATAACTTTTTTTTTTTAATAAGATTTTAAAAACTAATATATATATATATATTGCCACTGATATTTCGACTATTGGCTATGTAGTTGTTGCTGTACGCAGGGATCTGCTTATGTAGTCGTTTTTCCGAGTACTTGCCGGTACTTGTTCGTCAATGAGTAACTTCGGGACGTAAGCGCCGTTATTCTTAAAACAATATTTCAATAATAATCTATATTATTGTTGTTGTTATAAGTGCGTAAATGTGATTGTGTAGTCTGAACAGAACTTATTTCTCGACGAGTGACTCCCGGAAATAGACGCGGCCATTATTGCAAAAATATTTCCACAATAGTCTGTATTGTTATTTGTTATTATAAGCGCAAGAATGTGCTTGTATAGTCGCTTTTCCGAGTACTGACCGGTACTTGTGCGTCTATGAGTGACTCCGAAACGTAGACGCGGTCATTCATAAAACGATATTTCGACAATTGTCTATATTGTTGTGTTTATTGTTATAAGCCGCGAGAATGAGCTTATGTAGTCATTTTTCCGAGTACTTGCCGGTACTTGTTTGTCTATGAGCGACTCCGAGACAATTGTCTATATTGATGTGTTTGTTGTTGTAAGCCGCGTGAATGTGCTTGTATAGTCGCTTTTCCGAGTACTGATCGGTACTTGTTCGTCTGTGAGTAACCTCGAGACGTAGACGCGGGTATTATTAAAACGATATTTCAATGTCCTATGTTGTAATTGTAAGCAGTGAGAATGTGTTTGTGTAGTCTGAACAGAATTTATTTTTCGACGCATAGGTCCGAGAAGTAAACGTAACCATTATTGCAATAATAGTCTATATCTATACAAATTACATACAATTAGTTTCTTGATTTTAATGTTTTGCAAACCTATTTATATTATTTTTTGTTAGCCATTACTAATATTTAATTATTAGTTTAAATAATTATATTATATTGAGGTAATAGCTATAATGTCTTTATAAATCCGTTTTTTTTTATTTTAACTAACAAAAAAAGCAAAAGTATTACATGTACTCATATTCTTTATATAAAATAAACGTTTCTTTTATTTAATAATTTTAGGTACTGGTAAAACCGCTACCTTCTCGATCGCTATTTTACAACAAATCGATACGTCCATTCGCGAGTGTCAAGCTTTGATTTTGGCTCCCACTCGAGAATTAGCAACTCAAATTCAACGTGTTGTTATGGCGCTTGGTGAGTACATGAAGGTACATTCCCATGCTTGTATAGGCGGAACAAATGTTCGTGAGGATGCACGCACTTTGGAATCTGGTTGTCATATCGTTGTTGGTACACCCGGTCGTGTATCTGATATGATCAATCGCAAGGTGTTACGTACAAGCAACATCAAATTGTTCGTCTTGGATGAGGCTGATGAAATGCTTTCGCGTGGTTTTAAGGATCAAATCCAAGATGTCTTTAGAATGCTTCCTACGGATGTTCAAGTCATTTTACTATCTGCCACAATGCCGCCAGATGTTTTGGAAGTTAGTCGTTGTTTCATGCGTGATCCAGTTAGCATTTTGGTTAAAAAGGAAGAGCTTACATTAGAAGGTATCAAACAATTTTATGTAAATGTTAAACAAGAAAACTGGAAGTTGGGTACCTTATGTGATTTATATGATACGCTTTCCATTACTCAATCGGTTATTTTCTGCAACACTCGCCGCAAGGTAAGTAACACAAACTTTATTATAAAAAAAACTTGAACTAACAAAAAAAAAATTTAATATATACGTACCAATCTTCAAGAAAATATAAGTTTCTTGTACAGATTTTCTATAGAATATAATCTATAATTTACAATAATTAAATAAACATTTGTGGGCATCAAAAAATTTAATATATATGTGCCTTTAATAGAATATTAGTTCCTTGTATAGATCTTCTGTCAGCTATTGAATTCATCATTTGTTTATGGATTAAAATAATAATTCTTAATGAATGTTTAAATTATTTAACGTAGAATGCAAACAAGCTTGGTAAAATATAAAAAGATAAATTTTTTCCAGTATACATTATATAACAGTATTCATATCCATATCAACATACGTTACAAAGGTCATTCACACAAAGCAAATGTCTGTCTTTAGTCTGTCTGTCTATTTTTGTTGATCTGAACTTTCTACCGAATCTAAAAAGTATGTTAAGAAATTTTTGCTGTGCTGTGATATGAATTCATAAATCCGTTTGTTGATTTTCTCCCCATATTCCCCCCGTCAGGATCTATAAAATAGATAACATGAAAGGAATTGCAAAAACGTATTAGGATGTGGTGGTAGTGTGAGATTATTTAGAAGTAAAAATAAATTGGGGATGGGTGGTTCAACGCGAAGAAGCCTAGCCACTTCTATGGTGCGGGTCCAAAGTCGTTTATTATGTTTTTTTTTTTTTATTTAATTCCATATTTTCAATATATTACATTTTAATAATAAACACTTATTCAACCTTAATAAACTATCTGATGTGGTTTACCACCTACCAGTCGTTGGTTCTGACTTCTTCTGTAACACCTTGATAAGTAAACGCATTTGCGCCTTGCTTCGCTATTATAATAGTGGATCATAGTCTGTAAATGGAAGTTTTTCTTGTATTTTTACACATATTACGGTAATATTAAATTATTACTTTTGGGAATATATTGAAAAATTATATGTTGTAATAGTTTTGCTCTCTCAAAGCAAAATACTACTTTCTAAAGTTGTCTTATTTATACAAATATGTTTAAACGTCCATCTGTCAATCGATATTATAAACTGAATGTAACTCTAGTTTCCCCCTAACAAACATTTAAATTGAAACCTTTTGTTATTGCTTATAAATACAAATTTTTTATATTTGCTCTTCTGTGAATAATACTGATCTTTATAATATACTTTTAAGGTTGATCAACTAACTCAGGAAATGACTAATCATAATTTCACTGTTTCTGCAATGCATGGTGATATGGAGCAACGTGATCGAGAGGTTATCATGAAACAATTCCGCTCAGGTTCTTCTCGCGTCCTGATTACTACTGATTTATTAGCTCGTGGTATTGATGTGCAACAAGTTTCGCTTGTTATCAACTATGATTTACCATCAAATCGCGAAAATTACATTCACAGGTTAGATAAATTATAATATAATCAAAAGTGTAATTAATATTATTATAAATCATATCCTTTACAGAATTGGTCGTGGTGGACGTTTTGGTCGTAAGGGTGTCGCTATAAATTTCATCACTGATGAAGATCGACGTATCCTTAAGGATATTGAACAATTTTACCATACAACTATTGAAGAAATGCCAGCTAATATAGCTGATCTTATATAAGAGAATCCAGAAAACCTGATCATTTATAAAAAAATAATAAAAACAAAGTAGAAACATCAGCTTTTAGCTTTTTCTAAATTTACTATTATGAAATTATATATATACATATAACAATGAAATAATTTTATTATGAGAATAAAAAGCTAAAAACAAATACAATATTGCTATTTTGTTGCCAATACATTAAAACATAAGGTGAAAAAAAACAAACGGAATAAGAAAAATGTGAAAGAAAGGCGTTTGCTATCTTATCTATATCTGGACAATTTACTACACTGATGTGGCAATGCAAAGATGCCTGCTTTTATAGCATGGGACCTGCATGTGAAGTTCCTTTGGGAAGTGTCGAACGATACTTGGTCGTCGCTGGTGATGAGTGGCTCCGGGACATAGACTCGGCCGTTCTTGGAACCGTAGAAACTAATTGGAGAGCATAGGCTGTAAGCCGCAACTAAAAACTTACTGGTTTCCGCATGAGGATTGATCCCTATGTCATAAGGCGCCAAACAAATAAAGCACGCAAAATTTATTTTAAATAATGGCTACATTATAATATCTTAAAGTTATAACAGTTATATTGACCTTAAGCCCGCTGGCACACAATACTTAATTCTTATCATATGTAAATGTTACGGTAATTTGTCATCATATCGCTGATATATTATTAACCGGAAATTTGTATGTCAACTGTATACTTATGGAAATGGCTTGTATTTACTTAAAAAAAAATGCAAGTCCCTTAACCGTATAAGGTTTGATAAGGCCTTGCGAGCGCAGCATACAAACGATTTTTCATTTCTTCTTCTCTATCTGTAACATTATTATCCCAGTTTTCTAATGTAGCGGTATATGGATCTATAATCTTCCCATTCTACAGATAATACCGTATTGTTTTCTTCATTCTTTACGATGAAGTTTAGAACGTCTGTCATAAATTATATAAAGTAGGTAGAAGTGAGGTGACTGTAGCTTTGCAATGAATAATATAACTGAATGTTCATATATGATCTAATGTTTTCCAGTTTTACTGTCATAGACTAGTTAGAAGTAAATGGACTCTATATAGATCTTAATAAACTATAGTATATTGGTAAACGTTAGTTTCCAAATAGAAAAAAACACAGATTAAAGTTGTTGTTGTTGTAGTAACCCGCTGGGACCTGTAAGCAGATAAACATGAAAGGAAACACAAGACGATTACATGAGTAGGGAATGGGAAAGATTGGGAGACAAGGGGAAGAGGAGAAAGGATGAGGAAGAGGGATAAGGAATGTATATGAACTTTCATCCTGGATCCAGGTGGAGAAATCTAGCCACTTCAATGGGGTGAGTCCAAAGGTTAATTGGACGAAGATTAGTGTGTGCCGAAGGACATGAAAACAGATGGGCGACGTCATGGGGAGAAGCGCTGCAGTTAGGGCACACGTTTTGGATGGACGTATTTATGCGAGACAAGTAACTGTTTAGCACTCGGCTATATCACAGATTAAAGTCAGAACAAATGCTTAAAGTACCTTGACATCCATGTTCACGTGTAAACATATTATCTATATTATTGTGGATAATAGTTGTATATATAGTTAGATATCTCCTATTTGTATTGACTATTGCCGTTTTCATTGATTGTTCACATTTTTTATAGATTTATTTTTTAGATATAAGGACTTCTTTAAGGCTTTTTGGGAGGTGTCGAACGACACTTGGTCATCGCTGGCGACGAGTGGCTCCGGGACGTAGATCCGGCCGTTCTTGAAAACAGCATATATTGTCACTATGATCACATTTACTTTACAAATTTATGTGAGGTGAACTGTCTGTAATATTACTTTTACAAACTAAATTTGAAACATACGCTGAAGACGTTGCGTTCGTATGATCGAAAACAGACAGAATATAACCACTAAAGTGAGTAACAATTTTAAACTAGAGAAAGATATATTGTTGATGTTAGTAGACTCATATCGCATTTGTGACTCAATTTCTACATAAGAGACTATCAGAACTTGAGAAATCAAACTAAAAAAGAAATGAATATTTTGGAAGAGATATCTAGCTTAGCAAGCCCTTAAATCTCCTAAAGGTTATAACATTTTCGAACCAAAAGTGGTGCTTCGAACACAAACACATTCAAAAGTTAAATTCAATTATATTTGCTCGTCTAGCAGAAACAAATTAGGATTTCATGAACCTTTCTTTATCAACGCATCTTTAAATTAAGTGATGAAAGGAAATCCCCACAAAGGTCAATGATATTTTGAATGAGTATGTTAGGAAAACATTTTGTCACTGATACTGTAGTATAATGAGATATATTAGCTAACTAATTATTTATAATCAGTATGAACATTACATTTACTAAATGAAGGAAATATATCAGGTTACAGTAATCAGAACTGTCACGGCAAATTTACCGTAACAGGCATTGGACGTCTAGTATGTTGTTTTGATATTAAGCTTAAAAGAAGTTAGACTAGAAATAGAATTGTATTTACATTTACAGGCAAATGTACATGAGTTGTTTCAAAACATTTTTATATATAAATATATGTACATATATGCAGAAATGCTAGCCATTTGCTGTTCCAATAAATCCAAAAGCCAAGTAAATAGATACCCGTCGAGAAACAGCGGAGATCGACACCATGAAAAAAACTCCATAATATTTTTAGTAATCGATCCACTTCACATTGTCCATGTTATTAATAAATGTTATTAATGTCGCAATAAACGACTTGACGATATTGAAGAGCAAAATTTAATGAATAATGGTATAACTAGAGTGCAGCACAGTTTCATAGAAATTCCATTATGTAGGTGCTTAACTACATTGACGTCATATGTATATATGTGTATCGCATATCACATTGTGCACGAAGTTTTTAGAAGTACTTGATAACAGAATCAAAAATTTTTAAACTCTGAAAATGATTGCAGATATATTGACAAAAGACCTGTCAGCACCCGGCCACAGTATCTGCACTGCTGTGCTAGGAATACAGATAATAAAAGGAAAGTGAGATATCATTAGAGAGTGGGTTGAGCATGAAATAGATAATGAGACTAAATTTGTATGCGGGTCGACTAGACGTGTTTCCATTGAGGCCTTGTAATATAAAATTTGCGTAGTATTTTTGGCAAAATATTAATAAAACTTTTATTATAAATGTGTGACGGACTCTTGACCACACACAAGTTCACAACTGACCATTTATAAGATCAAAAAAAATATCATTCATTTTTTTATAATCAAAGACAGAGAGAAAATGAGTAAACTATGCGAATGTTTATATTTGTATATATACATGTATGCTTTGAAGGTTTATTACTTTATTGTATGTGTTTAGAAAATATATGTAGTGTATAAATTAGTCACCAGGTCTCAATATACATATACATGTATGTGCGATTTTAATTAGTATTAATACAATTAAAAAGAGAAAAGTCTGTTTTGGTTGCGCTGGAATGTTAATGTCCTATATTCAATTTGTTATGGTACAATTGTTATGGTACCAATTTTTTTACTATATAGAAAATATTTTTACTATATAGAAAATTTTTTTTATTTGCAAAATTTTTAAAATTTTGGAATTAAAAAATATAAATACTTATATTTCCGAATTATTTTGTTTTTCAGATTATTTATAATTATTCGCAGAATAAAATGTTTATTAGAATGGTAGAGTAGACGAGGGACAGAGATAGCAAGCATTTCATGGCACATCGCACTTTTGTTTAAATCATAATTACAAATAAAACATATTGGCAGTTACTTATATATATAAATATAAGGCTCTGAATCTAAAAACTTAAAAATATGTATATGGGAATATTGTATACTATATCCCAAATAATAGATACAAAACAGATAATTTAAGCTGTAAACACCTTTAATTCCTTAAAATACTTTCAATAAGTCATTCATATATGTAATTGCTTTTGCACTATTATTATTATTTTATAAAATTAATTGAAGATGTGTAAAATTAATTAGTTAAATTATTAATCTATAAGAAAAAAACTTTTTTCATTTATATGTTGGTCGCCATTTTATAATGACTCCATTTTATTATAATAGATAGCTGTGGTGGAAAAGAAATCGAACATATAGGGGAATATATTATGAGTCATTGTGTGTTCATTTTACTGCAATGAAAGTAGATTAATACACATTTGTCTACTGTGGTGAATATAATACAATAATTGTACCCAACTAATAGAGAAACTAATTAACTATGATTTAGTGGTTGATAACTTATAAATTGTGATTTAATATAAAAATTGCATTAAGATTTTATTTTTATCGCTTTTAGACCAAATCCACATAAAAAATTTATTTTTTTTATAATTAACACCAATAAAAATATATTATTAATTTCTTTATTTATTTTTATAAACATAACATTAATTTCTAGATTAATAATAATATAATTTATTAACAAAATATTATTTTTTGTACTAATAATAGTGTAAATATTTTTTTACTTTTAGTAAATATTTGTCCCAAGGAAAAAATGCTAGAAATTAAAAGTAACCATGAAGTAAGGAAAACATGTTTGTAATTATAAATAAAGTCAAAGTAATAAACAACGATAAAGAACACATATTTTTATTTACATTTAATGGTAAGTTGCAATCTATGATAAAATAATAAAGATAAAAACGCATATATTTCTCCAATTGTTGGTTTTTATCGTATATAAGCGGGTTTAGAGAAGTTTTATTTATAAATAAATATAAAAAAAAAATAATTATTAAATAATTTAATTTTAACTTTTTATTAGCTTGAACCTAAAGTAAAAATATTTTGTAAATAAACATTTTATGTTAAATTGGCAACTTACCACGAAACTCTCAATTGGTGAATTTCTTCCCAAAGTTCAACTTAGACAAACTACGTCAGTTGCTGTAAAGAACTTTTTCTATTGAACTACATTAATCTATTCTATATTTTTGGTACCATCAGTGTTACTTTTTCGTTTCTTGTGAGCTCAAGTTAAGTTTAGTTATGCAAATGCAATTATACTTATTTATGTGTTTATTTTACCTTGCATGGTGGAGATGAAATTTAAAATCACTGTGTATTTATATATGCATTTTCATCTAAAAGTAAAACAAATTACAAAAATAGTCATAGATGGAAAATTAATAAATTGTAA